TGAGTCCGCATCTGGAATACTGCGTCCAGTTCTGGGCTCCCCAGTTCAAGAAGGACAGGGATCTGCTGGAGAGGGTTCAGCAATGGGCTACAAAGATGATTAGGGGATTGGAACATCTCTCATATGAGGAAAGGCTGAGGGACATGGGTCTCTTTAGAGAAAAGAAGATTGAGGGGGGATCTTATTAATACTTACAGATACTTAAAGGGAGGTTGCCAGGGGGATGGGAAAGGTCTTTTTTCAGTGGTGCCCAGTGATAGGACTAGGGGAAATGGGCACAAGCTTGAACATAGGAAGTTCCATCTTAACATGAGGAGGAACTTCTTTGCCTTGAGGGTAGTGGAGCACTGGCACAGGCTGCCCACAGAAGTGGTGGAGTCTCCCACTCTGGAGACATTCAAAACACGCCTGGACGCTGTCCTGTGCAATCTCTTGTAGGTGACCCTGCTCTGGCAGGGGGGTTGGACTAGATGATCTCCAGAGTTCCCTTCCAACCCTGACCATTCTGTGATTCTGTAATCATTCTGAAACGGGGGTCCTCGAGGTTGAGCACACGTATCTGCACACCCGCCGTGTATTTTTATGTCTGTGCCCCTTCAGAGCTCCAGCTGTGTGCCTCTGGCCTGCTGCTTACCAGCTCTGCCAGAAAAAATAGCAAATATATAGCAAATAACAAAAATATTTTTGTCTTTGATCTTGAGACTGAATGTATACAGGCTAGGTGCCCCAGGTGTGCGCTAGCTACGGAGGTGAGGTCTTGGTCTGATTAAAACACAGTGCAAAGCTCTGCGATTGCCATTTGCACTGCTTAAAGAGAGTCCTTCAACATTTTTTTTAATATACAAATCATGCTTCAAGCTGAGTTTTGGTGGCAAGGCACCAGCTTTGTGTTTCAAATTGTCAAAAAAAAAGCTAGATAAAATCTAGATTTGTTTTACTTCCGATTATGTTAACATACTGAAATTTGGATAAAGTTTTGAAGTTCCATTAAACCTGGTAGTAAGACACAATTTTTGTTTCTTTGTTTTCTGAGAGACATGAAATCTTTTTGTAACTCAGTTGTCTTTTTTTCAGCGTAAATAAGTGTCTGTGGTTTGTTACTGCTTCATATTTGCCAAGAGTCTAGTGTTGGATTTGTTCCAGACTTTTATTTCAGGAACCATTCATTCATTTGCATCTTACTTAAATCTTTTTATGTTTTATTAGACTGTATGAACACCATGGACAAGTTCGGCTTGGTATGGTATGTTAATGTCTTAACCCTTGTCTATCCTGAGTCCAAAACTACTTGATTAAAGGTGGTGTGCCTAGTCTGAAGTACACTTTTGCTGACTTAATGTGCACGAGACCAAAGCTTGCGTTTTCCACCAAACTTTTTTTTCTTTTTTTAACATTCTGTGTTTATTGGCAGTCTGGGATGTGAAGCATGAGTATTTAGAGGTGGAGGTTTGGCATGTTTGGTGTATCAGTGTGTTTTGCAGCAGCAGTCAGATCACATGCGCTGCACTGTCAATTTTTTTCGTGTGAAAAATGGGCATAATTTAAATGAGTTGTAAATAGCAATGTTTATACAGTGCTGAGCTCTTCAGATGATGAGGTGAAGGTGCAAACTATGCATATTTTATACCTTGTAGAAGAACTGCATTTTTCAAGATAGTCTTTTTCTTTCATTTTTGAAGTAAAAGTGGGAAAAAATACATTACTTTATCAGTTGCTGTTGATTGCACAGCTCAGTACGGTGAATTTTGCCTGCATGAGGGAGGAAATAGTTGCTTTTTTTAAGTAAATGGAATAATGAAAAGTTCATTTAAATACCTATTCTGAGCGTGATTATCACTTATGGTGAAAATGCAGATGCGTCACCTTTACGTGGTTGTTGATGGATCAAGAACTATGGAGGACCAAGATTTAAAACCGAACAGACTTACTTGCACTATGAAGGTATTCTGTACTCAAAGGTTTTCTCTTAATCCACTCTTTCTCTATAAACCAGTTCCATTTTGCATTTGAAAGAATGGCAGTCTCCTGTGACTAGATTACATGCATAGCCTTAACTCTCCTCTCATCCCTATGTTTTTTCCCTTGTTTCTGTTGCTAGTCTGTAATTTTCCTGGGTTTTTGAATAGGAAACCATGTGTGACATTAGTTTGCTTTGCACGATTACTTCTGTACAGTAAAAACACTTTGTAAGGACATGTTATGGAAAGACGCAGAATGGAAAGAAAGGGCTCATTCATCCTTTTTTTTTCTCTTTCTTTTTTTTTTTTTCCAATGATACTAGATGTTTTGCAAGTACCACCTACTTAATGCAAGTGGAATAAAACTGTATTTAGTTTTTAACAGTCTTAACTTTTCTTTGTAGTTATTGGAATATTTTGTTGAAGAGTACTTTGACCAAAATCCGATTAGTCAGGTAGGTACAACCATGCAAGAAATAAGTAACCAAAAACTATTTAAAAGTTAGTTTTAGTTTTAACACTAATTAGTAAACTGTTTTCAATTGATGTGCTCCTTCCGATCCTTTCCTCATCAGTCTGGTGAAATTCTTTTTTCTGCCTGAACTAATGGAAGTAAGAACTTATCTGTTCTCTTTTTCCTAAACATAAATTCTAACACAGGACACTTGATTATATTGAATTTTAGAATTTTAGGCATTTCGAATTTTAGAAGATTTCTCTTTGTAACTTGTGGTAAAAGTACTGGAAATACAGGAATGTGTGTTAACTGATGCATAGTGTTGTACTGCTGTTGTTACACTTAAAAGAAAACTTGCATAGTTAAGTAATTCTAATCCATAAAGAAGTATCAGGCAAAATATAGCAAAAATGTAAATCAAATTCTTTTTAAACTTGCTAAGAAAATTTTTGCCTTTTTTTTTTTTTCCTTCTCCAGATTGGCTTAATTGTAACCAAGAGTAAAAGAGCTGAAAAAATGACAGAACTTTCAGGTAGGAAGGTAGTACATCTTTTTTAAATTGGAGGTGGTTTAGTTTCTTGCATTGATGTTACAAGTTCTACCAGGATGACACTACTGAAATTGAAGTAGTGTTAACATAATATTTTTAATTTACAAAAGAAGGCATTGCAAGTTATCTGAAACAGGGTCTTTATTTTGATCTAGAATTGTTGTGTGCTTGTTTGTGATCGTCTTACCCAGATTGCAACTAAAATACGCTTTGTTTCCTATATAGCTAACTGCTTACCCTCTTTGTTAATTCTGTATTTTATGACCTCTATGTGTCCTGTGTGATCTGAGCACGTGTTAAGAAGCAATGTTTCTTTGCTTCCTGCCTTCTGTCACTAGCAATCCATGTGGCTTCAGAGGTGAAGCCTTAATTTTTTCTCTTTATTCACCTGTAAAACTGGAGCAACTTCACTGAGGAATTTGAGGATCAATCAGTCCTTCAACAGTACTTTGATTTTGTTGACTCAACTGAACTGTTGACAAACAACTGAACTCTGTTTCTGCTGCAACAGTTTGTGAGATGCTTCACACTCATGTTAAGCACTTAATGATACACTACAGTGACTTTATTCTTTCTGAAGTTTCTAACAATTGACTGCCTGTAGAGTAAACGTCTTTCTGTTAATATGTTGTTTTATTGTTTTCTACATTCTCATCAAGAGATTAATTTCTTAGGAGAAAGGCAGAGTTACAAGTCACAGTTTGAAAACTGTTGTACAAGTACACTTCGTTAAGTATATAATTTAAATATTGCTCTTCTTTTAACTTGTTATTTTTGGGTGATTTGTTTTTTCCACTTACAGGTAACACAAAAAAGCACATAACTGCTCTGAAGAAAGCAGTGGATATGAACTGCAGTGGAGAGCCATCTCTATATAATTCCCTAAATTTGGCCATGCAGACTTTAAAGTTAGTGTATACGTGGAGGTTTTTTGTTTTCTTTGTTTTTCATAATCAATATAATGCTGATTGTGAATTTTTGGAGGGGCAGAGTGTGTTTTTTACACGTAGCATCTTGCATTGAGCTGACCTGAGTCTTTAAAAGGGGGCTTTATGTCCTCTTACAATACAAATTAATAAGAAGTTAAATATGCGAGCAGTGCAGAAGTTAATTTTCTAACGCAACGTGCTTCTGTGTAGAGGTGTGCTGCTTATGAAAAGCAACAATATTTTAAAACAAAGTAGATTATTTTATCTTGTGTATGAATATGGTACGAAAGACCTCACAATTATTTCTTACTAGAGGACTAAGGTATGAGAGGGCACAGTTAGGGGTTAATAATGATAAGAGAACAGGAAAAGAAAGAGCACTGAACAACAATAACCTGGTGGGAGTTTTGGCACACTTTAGAAAAGTAAATTTTCAGGTAGGATAGACTTAAACTTGTTTGCTGTGTGAGGTATTGAGATGGGATGAACATTTGCGGAAGACTGTTTTAGCAAATAATTGTAGTTAGAAACACTGACAGAGCAAAGCTAGTAGTCAACGTTATAAAAAAAATGTTGAATTATTAGTAGGATGAGAGTTTTCCATTAAGAACTACAAGACAGTAGCTAAAAGTAATGGATTTACACCTATAAACTGATTAGAGATTTTTGTTTTAAGAAGTCAGGAAGACTTACTGCAGCATTGCTAGGTTGAAGGTGAATTTCACCTGTGAGAGTATGGATAAGGTACAGTGATAACTTAATCATTAGAGCAAACAGTCAAATACCAACTACACAATCAGATATTATTGTTTTAGACACTGGAAAGGTCTGGCTTTTGGAAAGTGAAATTCTGGTGCTCAGAGAAGGATCTTATCACAGTCTTCTAATTTGTAGAAGGCTTCATGTAGCGTCATTGTCTGACTTTAGTACATTAAAGTCCTTGGAAACTTTATCATACAACTAGCTTAGTGTACAGAAGTAAATTAACTATATACTATTGTATATAATATTGTATATATTAACTATATACTGTTAACTGTATACTTTCCTTAGGCACATGCCAGGACATACAAGCAGAGAGGTTTTGGTAGTCTTCAGCAGTCTGACGACATGTGATCCAGCCAACATCTATGATCTAATTAAGGTACAGAAGTGAAGTTTGACTGCTACATTGAACCCAAGCTATTAGACTAAAACCAGACAGTTGCATTGTCATTGCCTATTAATTTTCTTTTTAAACTTGGAACCTTTTTACTGGTTTCTGTTCTGCATATGAATTTGAGTATGCTTTCTTTTTCCATTTGAAGTGTTTGAAAGCTGTTAAGATCAGAGTGTCTGTCATCGGCCTAAGTGCTGAAGTTCGAGTTTGTACAGTGCTTGCCCGAGAAACTGGTGGTATGTATCTGAAGTTCAGTAGTATACTACTAATACAAGTTTAAAATCGAAATCAAGTAGCTAATTTGTCATATATTCACTAATGCATTTTTATATCTAAGGATGAATATTCTGTTGTGTTGGCAGAAAATTTAAGGGTTTCTCAAATCTACAAAATACACAGTATTTAGTGAAATTATCAGCTGGTAGCTGCATCTTTGGGGAGAAGAAATATGTATATATTTTAAAACCTAGTGTTCCACGTGTAAAGCTGTGTGATGTGGAACTTAATTATTGTAATGTGTTAATATCAATTACTACACTGGTAACTCTTACCATATCATTACTATAGTGTCATGTTGAAGAAAAAACTATGGATCTTCATACCTAATTAAACATTCTGGTGTTATTTTAAAACGTGTTATTTTCAGTAGCATTAACAGGACTGTTTTTTGGGAATGGGGTTGGCTAAATTATTTTTTTAACTTAAGTTGTTTTCGGTCATTTGGAGAATCCGTTTGTATATTTATCTTCTCATAATCTGAGAGTAAGGCATTCCTTTCTCTGTGACAGGAACGTACCATGTTATTTTAGATGAAAGTCATTATAAGGAACTGCTGATGCATCATGTTAGTCCTCCAGCTGCCAGTTCAAGTTCTGAGTGCTCCCTTATTCGAATGGGTAAGATGCAGTTTTATCAAAGTCCTAGCCCAAGATTTGTGAATCATGTCTTTGTCCTTCTTTGCATCTTTTGTGTTAAAGCCATACAGATAGTTAGAAGCATAATAAAGACATTGCACAATTGTTTTTTTTATTTTAACTTTTATTTTGCTAAATAGATACCAATTTTCTTGTTGTTCCTGCAATCTAGTCAGCTTTTAAATAAAATTAAGAATTAAAACAAATAAGACAAATTACCCAACTGCAGTTGGAAACAATAAAGGGGAATAATATTGCTTGTACAGTAATTGGTATAAATGTAATACTTAGAAGTGAAGGATGAAAAATCATTTTTTTTTTCTTCCTCTGGCTTTTTTTCCCCTGCAGAAGGCAACTGTTATAAGCTGTAAGAGCCATCTGTTTGGCGATGTAGTACATGTTAGTGAAGAGCATTGTTGTGGTGTTCTTTCAACAAATGGATTAGGTACCTTTTCTTCTCCTGATTTATGTCTCAATAAATTTAAGCCTGGAGTTAAACTAGAACAGAGACTCTAATGCTATGAATTACAGCATTGGTTTCTCACTTTCATCCACCCGTTTTCACGGGTAAGAATGTATGTATTTTTATGTGTAGATTTAAATACTGAAGAGATTTACTTGCTATAGGTAAAGCCTGAGCAGCAGTTGGAAAAATTACCTGCCCAGTTGTCATGACTGTAAAAACACTAAGAGGTAGAAAGAATGGTATCTGTTACAGCCTTCATAAAGTCCTATAGTCTTATCTGTCATATACTACACTTTGAAAGTGAATAAACGCTTGGTGTCTGCATATAAAAATATTTTCCCCTTAATTAGAAACCACTGTTGAAGTGAACATTCATGTAAGCTCTTTCTGCTTTCCTACCATTGCACATCATTTTGATTTTAGTGGTTCTTCAAAAATGTAAGCTTCAATTAGTATGAAGTCTATGAAAAGATTATTTTCACTTGGGGGAAATACAGTGAGGGATTTGTTGGTGGATGTAGCTAGAGACCTTTAGAAGAATTTGATACCTGATAAGAGTGTATTACTTCTCCTGTGATAACAAACAAACAAACAAAAGAGGTCTTAATGTTTAGAATAATCTTTTAACTTCTCCATTGAAGTCAGAAACTGAAAGATTACGTGCGTGTTCAAAATTGATATGGGATGTTTTTCTCTTCAGGTTTTCCTCAGCATACTATTGCTTCTCTATCTGATCAAGATGCGAAACCATCCTTTAGCATGGCGTAAGTAGAGTTGATTAGAATTCAATGAGGTGATTATAATTCAATAATAATTAGTCGTATTGAGAAGATCTGCTTGTCAGTGACAATATTGCAAAATAACATGATAAAAATAGTATTGTCTTGTGACTTCTCAGTAGAAATTTTATTTCCATTTGCGCATCCAGTGTGTGACCAGTCACCTCTGTTAAATATGCTTTTTTAAATTTACATTTAAAATTTTTTGAATGTAGCAAATGGCGTTTAGTTGTATTGTGCAGTGATTGGAACACAAGGGTGCCAGAAGATATTAAAGTAATTACCACCAATTTTACTTGCATTTGTTGATCCAAGTATTTTTATCAGTCTAAAGATAATGATGAGGATGAAGGGTATTATCTGGAATAAAGTATTTTTTATCTATTTACTAGTGTGACTTTAAAGGGAAGTTTAAAATAGAGGCCTTACTTCATTAGTGTACCAGTGCTCTTCTCAATGAAAGGAATCATATTTTTCAGGGATGATAGGGGAGTC